ATAAATATAGTCTACATCAAACGAGTCAATGTTTAGACATTATGAATGAGGTAAGTTTAGATAATTAGTATTACCTACTACGAATGTGGTTAATTTATGGAAAAAGTGTAGCCTACTACGAAAGAGGTAATGTTTAGACAATAAGTGTAGCCTACTACGAATGAGGTAAAGTTTAGACAATAAATGTAGCCTACTACGAATGAGGTAATGATTTAAAGTTTACAAATGAATTGATATACGAGGAATTAGACCGGAAGTCGTTTAGGTCTTTATTTGAATAAAGCTGGATGAAGGAATCCATGTAAACTATGTAAAACCACACTGTAATAAGTTTTCATTGATAAAATGGTTTATATTGTGATTAAAATAATGTATCTTCAAGCAGTGTGTCTTTAGGGAGTAAACAGTGTTGGTGGTAACTATGCGTTTCCTCGCTCCCGCTTCGGCAGAAAATCTTACCACAAAACCTATAAATAAAATGTTCAAGCAAAATCTTGTCCTTGTGAATGAATGGATGAAGAAAGTTACTTGTACCTGTTAACTACATTGATTCAACATACCAAGGATTCGTGGTGTATTTTCCATCCGTAATAAGCTCGCCGTACCCTTAACAGATGGGGTTTTGAGTAGATTTCTAGCAATACTCGGACATTGGTCCTGTGGAGATTGTGTGTAGATCAACGTATTATTAACGATCAGGGTTTCTAGCTTACTGCATATCACGTTGTCTTTCTGAAAAACAACTATAGTGATAATAACAATACAGATACATTGAACCTTCTCCGACATCCTTTCGTTAACATCGCCGATGTCTTTGTGTTCATAAATATCTAACGCCATAGGTTATCCCCATTTGATGGTATCGTTGTTTAAATAGAACAAATCTAGTGACATCAGGGCGTCTTAAACTACCATTAAACAGATGCGTATGTATATGTAGGCTGTGTGATGTGTTAAGTTGGTGGTGTAATGAAACATATATGCCTATACATGTGATAATGGACATTTTTTAGTGACTATCTTTGGGTTAAAGTAGCATTATAAGATATAACGAAATGCCCCTGTACACTATTGTATCCTGAGAACTATACGATACATAACTACAGGGGCGTGTCAGAGAGCAGCTGTCACTATCAACAGGGGCGTTAAGGAGTCTGATACCATTTTAGATTCATTATCAGCGATAGTTTTCTTATTGAATTATGTTAATGTTATAAGATGACTTCAGTAATTCGGGAATACCTCCAAACGTTTTTAATTATACCACATCGAGACTGGGTTTTACTGATATTGATGCTTTTTGCAAGGAAGCTGAACATTCTCGTTTAAGAGAATAAAACCTGCAATTATACGAAAAAAATGCCGTTACTTTGATAAATAACCAGTAATTGCAAATTAGAATATCATTTTCTCTGACATTCGAACATACAACATGTACTTGTACACATAATTTTTCTTCATTGTTGGGTACTTCTGGTGTGTCAAGTACTATAAAAATGGCTATATAGACAGGCAATATTAATGTAAGATTTTACCTGTGCTGAGTATTATAAAAACTGCTATTTAGAAAGGCAGTATTAGTGTAAGATTTTACCTGTGCTGAGTATTATAAAAACTGCTATTTAGAAAGGCAGTATTAGTGTAAGATTTTACCTGTGCTGAGTATTATAAAAACTGCTATTTAGAAAGGCAGTATTAGTGTAAGATTTTACCTGTGCTGAGTATTATAAAAACTGCTATTTAGAAAGGCAGTATTAGTGTAAGATTTTACCTGTGCCGAGTATTATAAAACTGCTATTTAGAAAGGCAGTATTAGTGTAAGATTTTACCTGTGCTGAGTATTATAAAAACTGCTATTTAGAAAGGCAGTATTAGTGTAAGATTTTACCTGTGCTGAGTATTATAAAAATTACTATTCAGAAAGGCAGTATAAGTGTAAGATTTTACCTGTGCCGAGTATTATAAAACTGCTATTTAGAAAGGCAGTATTAGTGTAAGATTTTACCTGTGCTGAGTATTATAAAAATTACTATTCAGAAAGGCAGTATAAGTGTAAGATTTTACCTGTGCCGAGTATTAAAAAACTGCTATTTAGAAAGGCAGTATTAGTGTAAGATTTTACCTGTGCTGAGTATTATAAAAATTACTATTCAGAAAGGCAGTAAAAGTGTAAGATTTTACCTGTGCTGAGTATTATAAAAACTGATATTTAGAAAGGCAGTATTAGTGTAAGATTTTACCTGTGTTGAGCACAAAAGAAATGGCTATAAAGACAGCCAGTATTTACGTAAGATTTTACCTGTGTTGAGCACAAAAGAAATGGCTATAAAGACAGCCAGTATTTACGTAAGATTTTACCTGTGTTGAGCACAAAAGAAATGGCTATAAAAACAGCCAGTATTTACGTAAGATTTTACCTGTGTTGAGTACTATAAAATGGCTATTTAGACAGAAAGCATTCGTGAATGATTTTTTAAAGTTAATTTGTTCTACATAATTGTTCAAGTCAAGGTCTTTATTTCTGTTGACATGGAAAACAAAAACAAAGAAAACAAACAAATTTCATTTTCAGTACCGAAGTCAATTAATGAAGACAATATATTTTCTTTGATACACGTTATCAGGATGGCTATATTAGGGGTGTATTGAGAACGACTCAGTAAGACTACCGTTTGTTGTTTTGTTTGTGTCTCAGACAGCGAGATTGACATCTCTTTTATTTGATTAGAAATTACGAAAGATTCTTTTTTTAAACTTTCTAGACATTTTCGCCCATTTAATACGTATCTAGGAGATTGAATTCTCTGTTTCGTATAGACATTTCTATACAACATAATAAGTAATTCGAGATAGCACAACGGTACCAGCAAATAATCGATTAATGTGGAGTTCTCATCTTATAAAGCCAGATGTCGACCTAGTCATTGGCAGCTTGCTTTAACAGGAACCAATTCATGAAAGGTTACTTTGAAACTTCGATTTAGCCCTCGTACATGTATATGTAATTGACAGATTTGTACATCGAAAGTGAAAGGCTTTGAATTTGAAAATGCTGTCATAAATAAGTCAAATAAAAGTAGATAACCACAATTGCCTTTTAAAGATATACTTCATAGTCATTGTAAGGAGGGGAGGTAATCATAGCCGCCAATGAAATACTCCCCATAGTCATTGTAAGGAGGGGAGGTAATCGTAGCCGCCCTTAAAATATACTCAATAATTGTCATTGTAAAGGGGAGGTAATTATAGCCGCCATTAAAACACACTCCTTAATTGTCATTGCAAAGGGGAGGTGATTAAAGCCGCCATTAAAATATACTCCATAACTGTCATTGCTAAAGGGAGGTAATTATAGCCGCCATTGAGATATACTACATTGTCATTTTAAGAGGGAATAAAAGACACGAAATCTGCTTCGTTATAGCTTCAACCATATATTTGCACTACTGTTCACCTTTCTTAGAAAAGAAATCTTTCATACCAAGAGAACGAAGTCTCTTTAATGTGAGAATGGGGTATGATGGTTTACGGAGTGGAAAATCAAAAATAAACATCACACACAGAGGTTTTCAATGATCGCCAGTAAATAATAACTCTTATGTAGGCGAGACTAATCACCATCCAACAAAGGCACTTCACAGCTTTTAGTGAACAGTAGCCACCACAATATATAATGCTGAGTATGCGTGTAATCTGTATTGTGTGTGGTATGAACACAAATGTGTCTGATGTGCAAGTTATCATACAACCAAACACTTTTCTAAAAAAGATGCATTCCAACATTTCTTACATCTTGTGACATCTTGGAAATGCATTCACTGTCATCTTCTTCACCACACTTCCTCACTAACACATGTGAGGGAAACACGTGGTGAACACCATTCTGTCAGTAAATCTGTTCTTGTTAATTAAAAAGAACTCGAGAATTCTTCCGATTTAATGATCTAGCTATGTTTGGAGGTATTGATGCCGAGATTGGATTATGATTAATGACTTTTTCTCAATAACGCAATTTTTGTGGTTTTGCTGTTGTTAATCATTTCATTAGTAAAGATCTGCATGACTGATATCGTCAGAGAAGTAGAATCCACTTACCCTTTCTGATCACGTGTCCTCGTTCCAAAGATTTTGTATGTGAATTAAAACTTTGCTAAAATGACGATATTTTCTTGATTTTGACAAAGAGGACTAAGTCCTTTTGTATGTGTGTGTTTTTTCGTCTTTATTTTTGTCGCGTTTTAGATAAAAAGGATTTTGTAAGATACCATTCCGAAATAGATGTAAAAGTCAGCACGACCACATTTAACTTTTCCATTTGAAATTTATCCACACTATATGACAAGAACATACATATTAAACACACACAGGGGATGACCCTCTCCATGCCCACCCAGTACAAAAAACGCACGTCATTGTTACACAGTATCGAATCATAGATATTATAGTATCAAAGGTTCTACCGAGGCAAAGTTTCACATTCTCAAAGAAACTGCATATTATATCTATCAAATATTTCGATGATAGGATTAGATATGTTAACTGTAGACATAATTTTGTAAAGTATAATATTGACATGGCATGGTGATGGTAGTACGATTCGGTATGGTGATGGGGTACATTGTAAAACTGTATGTTCTTGTAGAGGGGATTACCAGAAATCTAATTGTTTTGTTCAAGGACTCTATACCCATAAGATCGACAGAACTAAAATATGTCTGTGTCTATATGTAAATACTTGATTTTCATCCATAAGGCATCGTCAATAATTCTGTCGTTGGGGACTCCGCTATTCCGGATCATATTAAACCTCAGCCGCGATCGTTATGACATAATACTGATCTTGATCTGTTTTCTTTGTTAATTGAGGCGTAACACTTTGTCCCTGCATGTTGATGTTTGAGATTACCTTCAAAGTTGATTTTTTTTAATGATGTACTTTATTGAGCAAAACATTTCAATTTTCAGATTAATTGAACCCTGTTTTTTTTTTTTTTTTTAAGGAATCAGTATGGACGGTTTGATTGACAGCTTGCTTCCAGAAGTCTGGCAAGAGGTGTCTTCCGGCGAACGTGGAGACGGTAAGTATCGCATGAAGGAGGACCGGAAGTGTCCTCCAACGACGAGGGAAACCTTAAGTATTGTATAAAGTGGTCCGGCACCGGAACAGTAAGTTTCGTACGAAATAAGACAAGAAATGGTGTCCAGCGACCAGGAAGACGGTAAGTATCGCATACAGTATGACGGGAAGCATAAGTTTATTGACGTGGATATGCTACGTATGATATTCAGTAAGACAGGAAGTGACTTCCTCTGACCAGAAAGACAGTAAGTATTGCATAAGGTAGGACCGGAAGTGTCGAACGACGACTAAAGAGATGTGACATATCTTGTAATAAAGGACAGGAAGTGACTTCCTCCAACCGGGGAGACAGTAAGTATCGCATACAGTAGGACCGGAAGTGTCGAACGACGACTGAGGAACAGTACCATCCTGTAATGTACGACAGGAAATTAATTCCTAAGGCCGTTGAGATGGTTTTTAGAGATTTACGTATATAAATATACACTAGATTTAAACACCGGAATGAATTATTTAGTAATCAACACAGTTCTAATTAGATCCTAAGGTTCATATGTTTGCAAAATCGAAAGTAGGAAGTAAAATCTGAGCAGTCTTTACACATGTAGACCTGTAAAGGTGGAGTTACATTGTGACTATTCACTCAGGTATACTTTATAAAGCCATTTTAAATAATGTTTCTGTTCTAACATTGTCATATATGTTATTACTTATTATTATTTTCTCTGTGGAACACAGTTTCTGTATAAGGCTATTTATGTCAATGTATCTTTGTGTTCATCCTTATATTGATATACCTAAATGTATTCTGTGTGTACGAACTCTCCGGTTCGGTCCTTGTAGACTAATTCTTTGACTTCCTGCTTTGATATATCTCATTCTTTTCACATTAAAGGATTCGTAGATTACTTCCTCAATGGAAATCCAAAACAGGTGGATGCCAACACACTGGGTCTAGTCATCTCCGACGAGGACGGCAACGCCCAGAGCGTCGTACTGAAAGGAACATTGCCCAATAAAAACCCCCTCAACAAAATCAGTCGTGTCGAATTGAAAGTTGGCGAAGACAAAAGTTTGGTTGGAATCGATTTAAATGGAGATTGTGTTATTCTGAAGAGCTAAAGAAAACAAATTGTGTGATGAAGACATGATGTATATATTTATATTAACATTCGCATATACCTAATGTTCACGCCTCAACACATAATACGGATCTATTTTACGTTTGACATTAATAATAATAATAATAATACTCCCTGGTTTGCACTTTGTTAACGTATGGCCGAAATCTATGTCATCACTGACAGTCGCTGTCAGAGATCAGCATCAGTACCGGAACCGGAACTTGCCAATACTTGTTAAAGTTATCATCGTTGTTTGACACCTGTTAAGATCACTGTCTTGTAAAGGCCACAGCCTAACAAACTACTGGCTTTACAACATCTGTTGGTTGTCAGGCGGTAGAATTTAACATTGGTCATGTTGCACTGTTTAAAATCCGTGGGTTATTATAATGGTATCAGTGATATAAATGATCTGGACAAACGTTTACGATAGAAAAACGAGAAAGAAGCAAATGTGTCTGGTCTATTTGTTTAACATGCCTATGTATGCTGTAAGTCAATAATCACCAAATAAACTGTTTCATGAACAACCATTTTTGTCTTAATTTATATCACATCAACGTATAAGTCTAATGGATTTAGGTCTATTCATATAAATCCCGATAGTTCTAGTTCCATTATTAATTCTCTAAATCCCAGATATTCTAGTTTCATCGTTTATTTTACAAATCCTGATAGTTCTAGTTTTATCATTAATTCTATAAATACCGGTAGTTCTAGGTCCATCGTTTATTCTATAAATCCCGTTAGTTCTACGTCCGTCGTTTATTCTATAAATACCGGTAGTTCTAGGTCCATCGTTTATTCTATAAATCCCGGTAGTTCTAGGTCCATCTTTGATTCTATAAATCCCGGTAGTTCTAGGTCCATCTTTGATTCTATAAATCCCGGTAGTTCTAAGTCCATCGTTTATTCTATAAATCCCAGTAGTTCTAGGTACATCTTTTATTCCATAAATCCCGGTAGTTCTAGGTCCATCGTTTATTCCATAAATCCCGGTAGTTCTAGGTCCATCGTTTATTCTATAAATCCCATCGTTTATTCTATAAATCCCGGTAGTTCTAGGTCCATCTTTTATTCTATAAATCCCGGTAGTTCTAGGTCCATCGTTTATTCCATAAATCCCGGTAGTTCTAGGTCCATCGTTTATTCTATAAATCCCGGTAGTTCTAGGTCCATCGTTTATTCATCCATCGATTAGTTTTCCATCGTTTATTCTATAAATCCCGGTAGTTCTAGGTCCATCGTTTATTCTATAAATCCCGGTAGTTCTAGGTCCATCGTTTATTCCATAAATCCCGGTAGTTCTAGGTCCATCGTTTATTCTATAAATCCCGGTAGTTCTAGGTCCATCGTTTATTCTATAAATCCCGGTAGTTCTAGGTCCATCGTTTATTCTATAAATCCCGGTAGTTCTAGGTCCATCGTTTATTCTATAAATCCCGGTAGTTCTAGGTCCATCGTTTATTCTATAAATCCCGGTAGTTCTAGGTCCATCGTTTATTCCATAAATCCCGGTAGTTCTAGGTCCATCGTTTATTCCATAAATCCCGGTAGTTCTAGGTCCATCGTTTATTCCATAAATCCCGGTAGTTCTAGGTCCATCGTTTATTCCATAAATCCCGGTAGTTCTAGGTCCATCGTTTATTCTATAAATCCCGGTAGTTCTAGGTCCATCGTTTATTCTATAAATCCCGGTAGTTCTAGGTCCATCGTTTATTCCATAAATCCCGGTAGTTCTAGGTCCATCGTTTATTCTATAAATCCCGGTAGTTCTAGGTCCATCTTTGATTCTATAAATCCCGGTAGTTCTAGGTCCATCGTTTATTCTATAAATCCCGGTAGTTCTAGGTCCATCGTTTATTCCATAAATCCCGGTAGTTCTAGGTCCATCGTTTATTCTATAAATCCCGGTAGTTCTAGGTCCATCGTTTATTCTATAAATCCCGGTAGTTCTAGGTCCATCGTTTATTCTATTTATTCTATAAATCCCGGTAGTTCTAGGTCCATCGTTTATTCCATAAATCCCGGTAGTTCTAGGTCCATCGTTTATTCTATAAATCCCGGTAGTTCTAGGTCCATCGTTTATTCTATAAATCCCGGTAGTTCTAGGTCCATCGTTTATTCTATAAATCCCGGTAGTTCTAGGTCCATCTTTTATTCTATAAATCCCGGTAGTTCTAGGTCCATCGTTTATTCTATAAATCCCGGTAGTTCTAGGTCCATCGTTTATTCCATAAATCCCGGTAGTTCTAGGTCCATCGTTTATTCTATAAATCCCGGTAGTTCTAGGTCCATCGTTTATTCTATAAATCCCGGTAGTTCTAGGTCCATCGTTTATTCTATAATTCCAGGTAGTTCTAGGTCCATCTTTGATTCTATAAATCCCGGTAGTTCTAGGTCCATCGTTTATTCTATAAATCCCGGTAGTTCTAGGTCCATCATCTTTGATTCTATAAATCCCGGTAGTTCTAGGTCCATCGTTTATTCTATAAATCCCGGTAGTTCTAGGTATAAATCCCGGTAGTTTATTCTATAAATCCCGGTAGTTCTAGGTCCATCGTTTATTCTATAAATCCCGGTAGTTCTAATAGTTCTATAAATCCCGGGTCCATCGGTTTCTAGGTCCATTGTATAAATCCCGGTAGTTCTAGGTCCATCGTTTATTCTATAAATGTTTATTCTATAAATCCAGTTCTTTTATTCTATAAATCCCGGTAGTTCTAGGTCCATCGTTTATTCTATAAATCCCGGTAGTTCTATGTCCATCGTTTATTCTATAAATCCCGGTAGTTCTAGTTCCTAATAAAGATAGTTTCTTCCTGTGTTGTTGTTGTGTTTCTATAAACCTCCTAAATAGTTCCAGACTGAAGGGTCGCTAGTTCAAACTCATGCGGTGGCACGGTCTTTTTCATTATTCCTTCCTATAACATCTACATTAAATCGTTAACTTCCGGTAGGTTTATGGCTAGCTTTAATTCTTTAACTTCCGGTAGTCCGTGTTCCTTGATTAATTCTTAAACTTCCGGTAGTTTTCATTCGATTATGAATTCTTTAACTTCCCTATACTCCCTCTACCGTTATTGTTTTATCTACACGGAGTTCTCTTACAAGTTTGATTATCTAAATCCTCGTGAATTCTAGTTCCAGCGTAAATCAGTAACCGTCGATAGTTTTGCGTAGAAGGGTTTACTACCAAATAGTTCTGTTGCTCATTTGTGTAACTTTGGGTAATGTTAGTTCCTGTGTTTAACTATGACCTCCAATAGTTCCAGCTCCTGTGTTTAACTATGACCTCCAATAGTTCCAGCTCCTGTGTTTAACTATGACCTCCAATAGTTCCAGCTCCTGTGTTTAACTATGACCTCCAATAGTTCCAGCTCCTGTGTTTAACTATGACCTCCGATAGTTCCAGCTCCTGTGTTTAACTATTATGTACCCAGGAGTTCTTGATCCATATTAACATAATTAACTCCTCTGTAGTTGTATTTCAATCGACGGTTTTCTAACTCCCAGTAGTTCTAGTCCCAGTGTTAGTATGTTATCTCCCCAGTAGTTCTAGTTCCAGTGTTAGTCTGTTATCTCCCCAGTAATTCTAGTTTCAGTGTTAGTCTGTTATCTCCTCCGATTGTTCTAATCCCATTGTTAATTCTTTAACCTTCGATAGTTCAGCATTTATCTATTAATCACCATGGAGTCCTACTTCAAGCTTCACATGATTAATTTCCCGGTAGTTCCAGTTGCACTGTTAATTCTTTAATCTCCGACACCTCTAGTTACAGTTTCAATTTTTTAACCTCCGATCGTTTCAGTTACAGTTTATTTCTTTAACTTCCTATAGTTCTATCTATAGTGTTAATCCTTTAACCTCGATTGTTCTAGTTACAGTGTTAATCCTTTAACCTCCGATAGTTCTAGTAACAGTGTTAATCTTTTAACCTCTGATAGTTCTAGTTACAGTGTTAATCCTTTAACCTCTGATAGTTCTAGTTCCTGTATTAATTCTTTTTGCTTCCGATAGTTCTAGTAACAGTGGTAATCCTTTAACCTCCGATAGTTCTAGTAACAGTGGTAATCCTTTAACCTCCGATAGTTCTAGTAACAGTGGTAATCCTTTAACCTCGATAGTTCTAGTAACAGTGGTAATCCTTTAACCTCGATAGTTCTAGTAACAGTGTTAATCCTTTAACCTCGATAGTTCTAGTAACAGTGTTAATCCTTTAACCTCGATAGTTCTAGTTACAGTGTTAATTCTTTAACCTCGATAGTTCTATTTACAGTGTTAATCCTTTAACCTCCGATAGTTCTAGTTACAGTGTTAATCCTTTAACCTCCGATAGTTCTAGTTACAGTGTTAATCCTTTAACCTCGATAGTTCTATTTACAGTGTTAATCCTTTAACCTCCGATAGTTCTATCTACAGTGTTAATCCTTTAACCTCGATTGTTCTAGTTACAGTGTTAATCCTTTAACATCCGATAGTTCTAGTTACAGTGTTAATCCTTTAACCTCGATAGTTCTAGTTACAGTGGTAATTCTTTAACCTCGATAGTTCTAGTAACAGTGTTAATCCTTTAACCTCGATAGTTCTAGTTACAGTGTTAATCCTTTAACCTCCGATAGTTCTAGTAACAGTGTTAATCCTTTTACCACGATAGTTCTAGTTACAGTGGTAATTCTTTAACCTCGATAGTTCTAGTAACAGTGTTAATCCTTTAACCTCCGATAGTTCTAGTTACAGTGTTAATCCTTTAACCTCAATAGTTCTAGTTACAGTGTTAATCCTTTAACCTCGATAGTTCTAATTACAGTGTTAATCCTTTAACCTCCGATAGTTCTAGTTACAGTGTTAATCCTTTAACCTCAATAGTTCTAGTTACAGTGTTAATCCTTTAACCTCAATAGTTCTAGTTACAGTGTTAATCCTTTAACCTCCGATAGTTCTAGTTACAGTGTTAATCCTTTAACCTCGATAGTTCTAGTTACAGTGTTAATCCTTTAACATCCGATAGTTCTAGTTACAGTGTTAATCCTTTAACCTCGATAGTTCTAGTTACAGTGTTAATCCTTTAACCTCGATAGTTCTAGTTACAGTGTTAATCCTTTAACCTCGATAGTTCTATTTACAGTGTTAATCCTTTAACCTCCGATAGTTCTAGTTACAGTGTTAATCCTTTAACCTCGATAGTTCTAGTTACAGTGTTAATCCTTTAACCTCGATAGTTCTAGTTACAGTGTTAATCCTTTAACCTCGATAGTTCTAGTTACAGTGTTAATCCTTTAACCTCCGATAGTTCTAGTTACAGTGTTAATCCTTTAACATCCGATAGTTCTAGTTACAGTGTTAATCCTTTAACCTCGATAGTTCTTGTTACAGTGTTAATCCTTTAACCTCGATAGTTCTAGTAACAGTGCTAATCCTTTAACCTCCGATAGTTCTAGTTACAGTGTTAATCCTTTAACCTCGATAGTTCTAGTTACAGTGTTAATCCTTTAACCTCCGATAGTTCTAGTAACAATGTTCATCCTT